GGACCAGTGGCGTGCGTACCGCAGACGCAGGGGTCGCAGCTGGGACTGCGTCTGTCACTCCAGGAGGCCCAGCCAACCTGCGGACCCCTGTGACCGGATATGTGTGTATGTATATGTGTGTATGTCTGTATGTGTGTGTCTGTTGGGGGTGGGGGGCATGGATCAGTTTTGCACCGGGGCCCCATGGATTGTGTGTACACCACTGCTCTTGACCGTCTGACTCTGATTTCTGCCTAACCCTTCTTTGGATACTTTTGCCTTGGATTTTTCTTTTATTTTTTATTAAAGACACCATGCCATCGCTGACCTGACAGAATCTTGTTCTCAATCTCAGGATCTCCGTAGATCATGCTTATAAAGGAGAGCTCTTACTGCATCTGAGTTCCATGATTGAACATGACCCAAGTGGGTTGTTACAGGGAGGAATGTAAAGATGGTATGAAATGGATTGAGGGAAATAAGGTTGCTAGATTACAGATTTAGTTAGAAGATCTTGTGAAAATAGAGAATAGAAGAGAAACTGGCATAAAGGAAGGCGAAGGTATTAATGAGACATTGCACGAGTTTACAATGTTAACTAGCTATGCTCCTAGTATACAAGAGAGGGAACTTTTCCAGTATTTCCTCCAATCATTAATATATGTTTTTATTTTCATTGACTGCATATACATGTTTATGTATCTAACCTGCTTGATATATTACTTTAATTGTTCATTGAATTTCCATTCTTTGGTTATACAATAAAATAAAAAGTGCATACAAAAATATAGAAATAAATGTAAAAATTAATGAATCAAAGAGAAATAATGCCGTCTCTGCAAAAATACAAATGTCAAAGTATATATTTCAAATAAAGACAATGAATAAAATGAAGAGATTAATTTATAGTATAGCCATACAAATAAAAGAGATGGTAAGATTTCTGCACAAACCTTGTAGTTTAATGGCACAAAAAAAAAATGTTAATATTAATGAATTTTACTAAACTAAAATAAACAGCCATTCTATGTGGCAAAGAAATAAGGAAATAACACATGAACAGGTTCTGTTGTCTGATGAATTTAGCAAACATACAATTACATAGTAAACACCTATAAGTTTATTATAGCTTCATGCAATAAAAAAGTACTAAAGAAATTTGCATTTAATAGTGTGCGTATCTCAGCCACTACCCCAGTGAAAAACACACGCTATTATGAGTTCAGTGAATAAACACCACTGTCAATAATAATACAGACACATTTACTATTACAGTTTATATAATTACCAACCTCAAATAAATAATATTCTATATGATTATGTTAAGAGTGATGGGTTTTGCAGCAAATTATTTTCTAAAGATCTACATGTAAGACATCATAGAACGTGTATAGTATACTTTATATGCATACATAATATTTATTCATTTCACTGATTAATTATTGGCCAAATATTATGGAAATAGGACTTACATGGCTTAAATTCATTGCCATCCTTTAAAGCCATATTCATATGAAAGAATTATACATGCAAATTAATTTTCTCCATTATAATTTGTTAATGTTGTTTCACTGGATTTTTCAGAGGAGTTATTTTTTTCAGAAAATTGTAAGTGTCCTAGTTACCTCCCAGGAACATTGGTTTCTATGTGGTAACTAGGTCGCTCAAGAGAAATATTTGCAGGGCTTTACAAAAATAATATTGCAAGTAAATTATATATGAGGAAAGTGAATTCAGGTGTTCAGAATGGGACAAATACAGTATATTAATCATATATACACCAAATATCATCAAAATTAAACATACTCACTAATATGTTAAATTTTCCCTGATGTAGATCCCTTTATGTATGGGGAAAGAAGAGAGAATCACCATGGTACTACTACATCGCAAAAGTGCCAAAAAGGTCACAGTCACAAAATGATGGAAACTCAGAACATGGTCAGTCAGCAAGGTTTTAAAGGAACAGCTAGCACTGGACTTCAGTATATAGCTAAGGAGTTATACAGTTTGGACTGTTTAGGTATCATAGAAGCTGCTAATCCTCTGAGATTATTACACACACCAGTATTTAGAGTTTACAGATATATTAAAAAAAAAAACACAACAAAAACACCATGCACATCTAGTGTTCAATGGATACAAAAATTCAATGTTAATGAGAGAAGACACACAGGAATTTCCAGATTTTTCTTAAGTTGATAAACCACAATCCTTACAATAACCCCAGGTTACAATATTGCTATTTATCTAACTATGCAAGTCATATCAAACCTTGGAGTGGATAAGCTTTAGCAGCTGAACACAACACCAGGTTCCACTACTTTCAGGAAATTTGTTCCTCTGCCCATATAAAGATTGTGATTACATTAAAAGGAACACAACACCAGGTTCCACTCCTTTCAGGAAATTTGTTCCTCTGCCCATATAAAGATTGTGATTACATTAAAAGGAACACTTGAGACATATAAACCACTTCAGCTTTTCTTCTTCTACCCCAGAGCTGTACTAAAGTGTATTAAGAAGCATACAATAGCTGCAATCTCATGTGCACTCACAGCTTCAGCACAGAAGCTTAAAAGATCCAAACAAAACTGCAGACTTTTTAGACACCCCTCCCCCATCTACTGCAGCATCCTCATCAGGTTCTACCTCTTTTTTAGATCTAGCCTGGCCCCTACCACAGAGGGGACGGTTACAAGACCGGCAGAGATGGGGGTACAAACCCAACCGCAGCAACTCCAGAAATTAGACCAGTTGGACATTTCTAATATGAAAATTATTAACCTTTCCAATCTTAAACTCCTACCTGATCACATAACATTACTTAATAAAGGACTATCATTTGTACCTACACCGAGTGCAGACGACTTTGAATGGCTAAAGGATATCAACCTATTTGGCCGCAAACTAGCCCTATGCCCATTACATAAAAAGAAAAATAATAAAGAAGCAAAGGAACTGGGTCTTACCAGTAAAGATTTTACACATTTTCAAACGTTGGTACAGCTTCTTACTGAACAAGAAACTACACCTCCACTCAACAACTTCAAACCACTGAGTTGGTTCACCCCCAACTTTAGGGATGATATAAATGTGGACTTGCTTGTAAAAATGACAACTGACATAATCGAATCCCTACCTATACCTAAAATCCACCAGAATAATCTTTCTAGTGGGGAACAAAATGCACTCAAAGATCTGAGCAATAATAAAAATATTGTTATAAAACCATCTGATAAGGGAGGTAATATTGTCCTAATGGAAAGGGAGGACTATGTGAACATGTGTCTAACACATCTGAATAATTCTTCCTGCTACAGTAAACTCGAGGGGGACCCTACTTCATCTTATCTCAAATCCCTTCAAACCTTACTAGATACTGCCATGACAAACAGCATTATAACTAATGATGAATTGAGATTTATTTTACTCACCAACTATTGCCACTTTCTATTGTCTACCAAAGGTGCACAAAAATCTCACCCATCCCCCGGGTAGACCAATCGTTTCTGGGAACCAATGTCTGACAGAAAATGCCAGCAGGTTTCTTGAAAATCTACTACACCCCTTTGTAATGAGCTTAGATTCCTTCCTACAAGACACTTAACAGACCCTACTGACTTTGGAAAATTTAATAGTTCCACCTTATACTCTTCTTGCGAGCTTAGATGTGGTATCACTATATAATAATATCCCACACGTTATAGGCATTAAAGCCACATCTTATTTTTTTAGAGAAGTCCAAAAAATTCTCCATACAACATCAACAATTCATATTGGATTTACTCACTTTTGTACTGACACACAATTATTTTGTATTTAATGGAGTATATTATTTGCAAATGAAGGGCACTGCTATGGGGACAGCTTGTGCCCCTTGCTATGCCAACCTGTACCTTGGCTGGGGGGAAGAAACTATACTGTCTGAAATTGATCATGAGTACAGCCAATTCATATTGAATTGGAATAGATACATTGATGATGTGCTTCTTTTCTGGACAGGATCCATCCCAAAATTCCAACAACTGGTCAATATTTTCAATGACGACGACATCGGATTGCAATTAACATCTGTCATCGATGAAAAGACATTGGAATTTTTGGATCTGAGAATCATACTGGGCATGGATGGTACAGTAACAACTGAACTATATAGAAAGGCCGAAATTAGAGGTATTGGCACTGAATGCACAAATGCCAAAATACACACACCACTCTCTGTGCCCCAAAAAGAGAGTATATACAATACTTATATATACAGAAGTATATGCTGATGATATTCCGTATTGTTGGACCCTACAATAACAAAAAACAGTACATAGTGCAGACTGTATATGATAAATAAGGATAATAAAAATAAATGGATCCACTCACGGATCCACTCACTTGTATAAAATGGTACAAAAATAGTATCAATGCAGACGCGTCTGCATTGATACTATTTTTGTACCATTTTATACAACTTGTTAGTTGTTTTTTACATATTTTTACCTACAATAAATTTGTTCAACTCTTCATTATTATTGCTGCTTCTCCTGTCTCTGAGGGACATCGTGAAGATTTTGTGCTTAGCCTGTAGAGGCACCCTTGGGCATTATACACAGAGCCTGGCACGGCTCTGTAATCCGTGAGTGGATCCATTTATTTTTATTATCCTTATTTATCATATACAGTCTGCACTATGTACTGTTTTTTGTTATTGTAGGGTCCAACAATATGGAATATCATCAGAATATACTTCTGTATATATAAGTATTGTATATACTCACTTTTTGGGGCACAGAGAGTGGTGTGTGTATTTTGGCATTTGTGCATTCAGTGCCAATACCTCTAATTTCGAACTTTGTATTCAAGGTGTTGGGGAACACTTATCATTCCACCACTATCTCTGAGTTCACTCTATTGTGTAAGCGCCATTCACTTCTCTTTTCTTATTGTTTATATAGAAAGGCCACTGCTACTAACAGCTTACTGCACTGGCAGAGTCACCATCCACTTAAATTGAAGGCTGGGATACCTTATGGCCAATACTTAAGGGCCCGGAGAAATTGCTCTCAAGAAACTGCCTTCCAGAAAGAAGCAAAAGACATCAAATCTAGATTCAAGGAACAGGGTTATCCTAATAGAATTTAAAAAAAAGCTTATCAAAAGGTGAACAGCATGGACAGATCTATCTGTCTCCGTTCCTCCAGACCCAAATCACCAAAACAGACCATAAGATGTATCGCTGTATCGATACTTTTGATCAGTATTGGGAGCCCATGAGAGAAATACTGACAAGCAATTGGCCAATTCTAGTACATGACAAAGAACTTCAAGATAACATTATCTCTTACCCCAGCCTCATGGCACGAAGACCTAAGAACCTAAGAGATGCTCTGGTTCATAGTTATTTGGAACCTCTTACCACAACCCCGTGTTGGTTGACACAGACGAAGGGTATCTACAAATGTGGATCTTGCAAGGCTTGCAAATACATTAACTCTGCTAAATCCATCCTATGTACAAAAACCAACAAACAATATGTGATTTGCGATTTCATCAATTGCAGTACCACTAGAATCATTTATGTTATCACATGTAATTGCAACATGCAGTACATAGGAAAAACATATCAACAATTTCGGAGACGTATCTTACAACACGTCAACTCAGTTACTAATATCAATATCATTACACCAGTAGCAAACCATGTTCGATCCCAACATCAAGGTGACCCATCTAGCTTACACTTCCAAGCTATCGAACGACTATCTACTAATGCGAGAAAGGGTGACTTTAATGTAAGATTACTTAAAAGGGAGTCCAAATGGATTCATGAATTTAAAACTCACACACCGTCAGGTCTAAATGAAGAATTTAATTTTACTCCGTTCATACAATTGCATTACATACTTAATGGCAAAAGATATGTCTTTTATATATGTGGCTTTCCTCTCTAGTGTAACACTATCTGATACAATCTCCGCTCGAGGGAACTTATACCACTTGAATAATCTGAATATTATTTAAGTGGCTATATTATGTTTACATTTTGCTTAGTCTCTTGGTTATGACATATCCACTTGTGTTTCTTTTCGTTTTTAGTACTAATTTCTGTGTACTTGCTTTAATGTGTTTATACAATCAAGTGTTTGGACACACTTCCACAATTTCTAACTGCTGTTTAAAAGTGCATTTTATTCTGCTTAGCGCTCTTTATTCAGGGTATTCAAGTTTTGAATTCCTTGTAGCGATTTCCATCGATGCTTCTTTTTCTCCTCCTCAGTAGGATAATGCCAGAAATGGCAATTATAATCTTTCATTATTTTTAACTTTAATGGTTGTTATTGCTATACGGCAGTGCTAGGGTTAAGTATTTCTAACACCTCCCATAATTACACTGCCGTACCTCCCATTGGCACATCAATTACCGCATAGACCAATGAGATCTGACCATCTCTCCTATTTAAACTGGATTTTAACGGTAGCTCAGTTCCCCTATGAAGAGCTTTGAGTGGCGAAACGCGCATCAAGGGCTTGTACCTGGCGTTATCCTATTTACCCACTGCACCATCAGTGTTCAATATCATCCCTGCCATTGTTACAGGTTTAATTATCGGCAATACGGAACCCGGTTTTGGAGTTCCGTCTAGGAGCATAGTTATCTTGGATCCATCTTTATTTCAGGACGCTTATACGATTTTTGGGGGTGGGTGTGCTGTCGGAAAGTGTTAGGAGATATCAGGCTTTTTGTTAAGGGGTGCCCTCGAAGGCACTAGCAGCTAGGGCTTAAGTATAGTTACACAGTGTTTAGTACTTTTCCCCTTCCTATATCATGGTTGGCAACCTCTCCCCCGCTACCCGCCAGATCTCAGATCCAAGATACAACATTTGATTCAATACTAGGTAATCCTGTAGTCCTTACCAGAGTAAGAGACCTAATCTATTGGGAATTGATTATTTTTGTCTAAACACACCGACAGTATTTCTCCTAGATATCAGACAGTATTCTGGGAGGACTGTTCAGACTCATAGCTGATACTCTGTTGCTTACTTAGTTGCACATAAAGTATCAATAAATGTTTGGTAACTTATTTTACTTATTATTATTCTCTCTCTACACTTTGGCATTTTATGTTATAAGTTCAGCGTAAGATCATCTTTAGACTGCTCCTGTAGGTGCTGTTTTTCGGCTATATATACGCATAGCTGTTTAGGTGGGCAATTGTATCTACCATGATCTGTGGTTTTAGTTAGTTGTTATTAAAAGTTAAGTTTTATTCTGGGAATTAGTTATTAGACACTATATTTTCTCCATGCTAATTTCCCTCTTTTTAGAGGGAAATCCACTCTATTAGGACTTATTTTTTTTTCTCTTTTGTTTTGTATTTTTGGTGAAGTTGTTCACTAGGGGTTATCCCCCATTTAGGAGAAATTTACCCATATCCCCCCCTTTCCTTTCATGTTTTAATATTCAGCACAGAAGCTTCTCACTGAGAAGCCTTTGATTGGAAGCACAGACTGAAAATATATTCCTGGCAAAAGAGAGAGCACTTGAAAAGACTGCACAAAGCAGGTCTGCACCTTTTCAAAATTAATTTATTTTTATATACCCCATATAAAACATGCAAGAAAAAAAAAACATAACAAAAACACATGCATGCTTTCTTTGGGCATTTATCTACTTAATTGTTAAAAATACATTTTCAGTGGAGTTTTTTTATTATTATTCTTTATATAAATGTTAAGAGTGTCCTTTTAGGAGAAAACACAAGGTTTTTAACCAAAACTTGACTTAAAAAGTATTCATTGGTAAAGCCTGGTGCTGCTGTTTTAATTATTTGCTTAACATCTCACTCGAAAAGGTGAGGTGTTGATATAAGAAAATAAGTACATTTAATTGTTTAAATTATGTTTATACAAATTAAATCATCTAGTTTGCCAATTATATAAACTAAAATAAATAATATATTGAAGAAAATAACTGTTTATATATATATATATATATATATATATATATATTTATTTCTGTGTTTATATTTAAAAAAGAAATGTATATACAAATAGAACAGTTTTACTATTTGGAGATAAACAATGGCTTGATTGTGTGATAGATCACTACTACTAAAGAGAGCCCACAGATGGCTCTAAAATGAGTGCGTATAATGTTAATAGTGTAACACAAATACACTTCACCACAACTTTGTGTGTTTATATTGATAGCTGTTGCTATCCCTATGTTTGGTAAAATAGTACTGTTAAAAATAACAACAAAAAACAATTTTGTTTGATGTGATATATACAAAACCTAAATTTCTTTTTACTGAAAGTAAGTCTAGAGTTGCTTCAATTACAATGGGATTTCAAGAGAATAGAATTAAAAAAAATCTTGAGTTCAACATATAACCATCTACGATATTGATTTCAGTACAGTAAAAAATTATAAACAAGTAACCACAGATAGGAAGGATAAAAAACAAGATGGCATAACAAGCGATGAAAAGGAATGCATGGTTGTTTTTTCTGTATTAATGTACAAGAAAATAACATTAACTCCCGAGTGAATTACAGGGCATCGAACTGATGATTATTTATTAATAGTGTGTGCAAAATCCCATTATAACTCAAAAATACATATGAGGCCTTTTTAAAAGTCCATTGGTTTAACTAATTATGTCCTTTTGCCTGAATGCAACTTTAGTAACAATGATCCCAAATAATCTGATCATGGGATTTTTAGCATTTTTTTTAAATAACGTAAATTTAGGAGATGAATCTTAGAAGCATAAGCATAATTAATGCATAATTAAATTAATCATTATGTCAGATGATATCTTTCTTACACTTTATCAAAAGTATGCCTTATATTGTT